GGAACTATCTGCATGACCTACCTCATAGAGATAAATTTATTTGTTGTCTCAACAAAGGACATAGAAAGTGATAATTGTGTACCCTTGTATCCAAATATGATGTTAGCCTTAATGTAACAACGCGCACCAAAGGTAAATTGTCTCAAGTATTTAATAACATAACTGTAATAAACTTTAATTTTATTATTTCTGGTTTGTATATAGTGAGAAAGGGTGAAAAAACCACTGCCTAGCCATCATCTAGTATTCCACAAATATTGGTGCAATACATTGCATGATATTTAGCGAATTCAAGTTTGTCTCAACGGATTACACTTAACTACACACCACGTTTGCTTTTTTCATTGGATTTCCTGCTTAGCCATTTGACCTCGCTCCTAGCAGCTATCAAATTATTTTCGAACTGTGCAAATTCTAATTGTGTTCCTTTTTAGAAAAGAACCTCAAATTTCTGTTAACATTTTATATAACCACAGTCTTGCCAATGGCCCCTGCAGTTTGTTCTTGCGACTTACTGAGAAATTTAGTTGTATCAACCTAAATATCGATTATGAGATACATTGAAAACTTTAAAAGCATGTTTTAAATTGCCTTTTAAATTTTAGAAAATCAAAACAGATTTTAATGTGACACAATGCCATTGGTGCAGATACGGTGTCAGTAGATACCAGATTTAAAATTCCTCAGATATACGAATGGTAAAATGAGGTCTGGCAACACCAGCTTAATTTACTATAATAAAATTTAAATTCAAGATCACTCAATGCAGACAGAAATTTATTTCAAATTAACAGCGAATTTCCACAGATTTTAGTACTGCAAAATGTCAAGTAATTTTCTTAAAGGCTATATATCTAATTGATGTGATGACTAATTGGGTGATCAAAGTGTAGTTGTGAATGCTATTAACGATTTAGACGAATATGTAGGCAATGTGTCTGAACCAAACTATGGTGTCTACTTCATATTGCTGTAGTCGATTTAATTCATCCACTCATTTAATTTGAACCCATTGTAGGCAGTATTTGTCTATGAAACATTAAGGAAAGCGTAGACGTGTAGAATACCTGAGCCCAAAGAGGAAGAAGACTGGTACAACAGAACAGACTTTATTGACCAATCACAAGCTAAAGCCTCACGACAGTCGCCCTCCATCCGAGTCCACTGTAGCGCGCCCGGGCATAATAAGAGGACTAATGGACAGTTATATGGGTATACTGACAGAAAGCACAACGACAGTCTCCAACGTCAGGGTTAAGGTTTCAGTGTTCACAAGGGGTTTCTTATATTCTGGGTCCAGGTTGCTCCTGTCCACTCATTGGCTCCGGCTTGGCTTCTAGAAATAGAAGGACAATCTCGTGAAGTGATTGGCTATCCGTGCTTTGGCGCCCCATTTGAAACTTAAATGATCCTCGCAACCGGGAATCACGTGATGCCGCCCCATCGGCGCCCCACTGGCTCTCAACCAATGGCTCGATGCCAAGATGGCGTCCTTCTGCCCCCACGCTAGCCACGCCGTCCATTATATACTGCACCTCACTAGTGTCCTTATCTGGTTGGCTGCTTACCTTCCTCGCATGCCATTAGAACGCAGAGAGACACCGGATTAGCTGAGGCCAGGTGGTCCAACATGTCTGCGCCCTAATCCGACGCCGCACTGCCTCCCCCTCAGCAGTGGAGCTGTCCTCAGCTTCTGGCTTGGTTCCTTGCACTGTTCATGACAGGTAAAATATCCATTTCGACACTATCCGTACCCCGCATCTGGCACGATATTGGCCCAAGCAAATAGTTGACGAGGGACTTTGCTCTTGTAGACTTGCGGGAAGAACTCTTCATCCATTGTAGGTCCATTCGCAGATGCATGTCGTCGTCGCTGACTTGCCAATGCCTCTTCAGATGCAGTGGTCCTAATCCCGGGCAATGTCTATGGATCCAATGTTTGGGACATCGGATGACCGGCATGACAAATTCAGCTGGCATTCAAGGGTCTTTGCCTCTGTTGACCACAGAAGAGAAAGGGTTGGTGTCCGATTCGCGTTATTCGAACGCATCCGCTGCCACCAATATAGAATACCCGAGCCCTAATAGGAGAAAGACCGGTACAACAGAACAGGCTTTATTGACCAATCAGAGGCCAGAGCCACGCGTCAGGCGCCTTCCATCCGAGTCCACCACGCTGGCCACGCCGCTCATTATATACTGCTCCTCAGTCGTGTCCTTCTCTGGTTGGCTGCCTTCCTTTCCCGCATGCCATTAGAACCCAGAGAGACACGGGATTGGCTGAGGCCAGGTGGTCCAACATGTCTGCGCCCTGATCCGACGCCACACCACACACAAACAGGCATTGCCTCAGATTCAAATTGCCATGGTCTTGTTAAACTATTTCCACTTGCGTTTTTGTTTCGTACTGTAGAATTTGAGATTGTCGGGATTAGGAGACCTAATTGATAAGGTGTTTTGTTTGTTGAAGATCTGTTTACCAAATTAGAAATTGGCTGTGTATTTAATAACATCATTAACGTTAAAGCAAACATCAAGACATAACAGGTGATTGCTAAGTAAGAGTTGCACTTAGGCTAGTGGAAAGTACTTCTAAATTAGACGCATTAATATGATATTTATCTTCAGCGTTTGGAGAGGACTTTCCACG